TAGTAAAATCTTTTGCCGAAAACCACAAAACCCACCCTGTGTATACAGGAGCCAACAACAAATTACATGAGTTTCCTATCACGGACTGTGCCAAACCTCACCCACAGGTAACTGTAGACACAAGGAAAGCACCTGCGTGCCCCAGCTCCATCCCCAGATGGTGGTGCCAGGAACAGAGATCCGAGTGGAACTGCCTACCCACTGGCTGTGTGGTCTCAGGGCCAGATCTTTAGCCTCTCTGCACCTCCATTATCTCACTTATAAAATGGACATATTAACAGTGATGGCATGAGGCTTAAATGAGAGGACACCTATAAAAGGCTTAACAAAGTGCTGTTGGGGCTCAGAAAATATACCCCAAAGTGCAGCAGTTTAACATGCTGAGTACTTTGACCGGACAAGCCAGGTGTCTGTGACCCTCTCTTACCTGCCTGTTCCTCATTCCTCCTTCTCCCCCAAAGTGCAGGAAGGGGCTTTTCTGGAAATTCCCCCATCTACCGGAAGACCAGATCCACCAAAGGGGAGCACATGCCTTCTACTTCTCTGTGGCACTTCATCAAGCAAGGAAGCGTCAACTCACATCACAGAGGAGACTGACAGTCACAACCCACCCAGAAGCCAGCTAAACTTCGCCCTCGGCCACCGTCTGTCCTTCAGACCTTTCATCTCCCCTAGAATCATTCCACTTCCTATGGAATTACCTCCACCTCCCTCTTCCCTTTCCCTGTGAACATCGCAGAGCTTCATCCTTTGTGGGACTCCCGTGCATCTGCCTGTTGATGAACTTCTCTGCTCTTTTCTACTATTCTGCCTGTGGTCATTTTGTTTTATAGACTCAAATGATCAGGGGATTGAAAGTTTCCTTCACCCTTTCAGTGCTTAGAACACAGCAAGCCCTAAAAAATAGCAGCCATTTGTTCACTGGTGCAACAAATAGCTCTCGGATGCCAATGGGTCAGGCACTGTTCCAGTCACTGGGGACAGCAATGAAAAAAAGACACAAGATTTTTCCACTGACGGAATTTATACCCCAGCAGAAAAATAATATCTAACACTTGTCATTCATTACGGCTTAACCAATGGGTTGCAATGCCTCCTCAGGACATTTGGCAATTTTAAAGATGTTTTCAGTTGTCACTACTAGCAGAGAATGGACTGCCACTGGCATCAAGTAGACAGACATCAGGGACACTAATGGGACAGATTGGCCACCATGCAGAGGGGAGTTGAAGAGGCTGAGAAACCCTGTTCTAAAGGTTAATGACTCAATTAAACAACCCCATGAGGGAAGAGTTATAAATAGAGTTCTTTTCTTACTATTTACAGTAGGTAACTAAATGTTACAAAGTATAAAATACTATGCATAGATTAATATTGACGGTAATAAAAAGTATACAGATTCTTTAAAACCTATCTTCCTAGTAGGTACTTAAAAAAAAAAAAAATCAGCCCAAGCACTGTGGTGCACACCTATAATCTCAACAGCTCAGGAGCCTGAGGCAGGAAGATCTCAAGTTCAAAGCCAGCCTCAGCAACTTTAGCAAAGCCCTGAGCAACTTAGCAAGACCCTGTCACAAAATTAATTAATTAATTAAAAAACTGGGCTGGGGATGTGACTCAGTGGTTGAGTGCCCCTGGATTCAGTCTCTACACCTTTCCCCCCTGCCAAACCCCCCCACCAAAAAAAAAAAAAATCAGGGGCTGGATTTCATGAAATAGATTGGGTCCACGTTACAACCAACGGCAGTACCCTTGTGCCATCCAGATTTTCAGGTGTTGCTGATCTTTCTTGATCCTCACACCCATGCTATGGAAGGTGATCTTCTGCATCACACCTGTGAGGATTCTGATAGCAGAACTAGAGAACTCTGTGGTACACCCGAAACACCAGACCAAGAGCCTGCCAGATTCAGGAACAAGTTTCATGATCTTCCTGCCTGTGACGTCTCTGGCAAGTCACTTAACTTCTCCATGCATCAGAGGCTTACCTTCACCAAAACGGGGGCCGCTGGGGTAAAATGAGACAGTGTGCGAGAGCAGATGGAAGCTGCAAAGAACACTTGCCTCAGCCCAAACAAGCAGCATTCAAAATATAGCACCAGCACCTTCACTGCCACCACACCTGCTACAGTTTGGGTACGTGTCCCCAAAGGTCCATGGACTAACGGCTTGGTCCCAGCCCTTGGCACTACTGGGCATTGGTGGAACCTTTAAGAGAAGGGCCTAATGGAAGGTTTCCGTCACAGAAGCTGTGCTCTTGAGGGGATATTGGGACCCCAACCCCTTCCTGTGCCTCTCTGGTGTCTTGACCATGAGATGAAGAGTTTCTCCATATGAAACCACCATAAAGCACTGCCTTGCCACAGGCCCCAAACCAACAGTCAACTAATCCTGAACTGAAATGTTTAAAACGGTGAGCCTGACATTTAGTAGATAAACCTTTCCTCTTTATCAGTTGATTATCTCAGGTATTTGCAACAGCAACGGGAAGATGACTATAAAACCATCGCCAGGTAATGTGCACTGAATGATCACTTTCTTTTCATGGTACATTTGTTCATTTACTCCTTTCCACAGACCAAGAGGTAGGTGTGCTGATCCATGCAGGTTGATGATCAGGGAACCAAGGCACTGGCAAGGCGTAACCTGCCTGAGGTTACAGGTAAGTGAATGGCAGAACGAGGGTCCACATCTAACACAGTCTGGTTCCAGAACATGCCCTCTTAACCATTGTGGGTCTTTCTCTGAGATGGAAAGACACTGGAGACACGCTCTCACACCAGCTGCCTTCCCTGGCCAAGGTCACTTCCTCTTGACCTCACAGAGCTGCCCTGTTCCATGGGCAGTCACATTCAGTCTCTACCCATAGCCATCCACCCAGCTGATTCACTTCTCAAAGAAAAGAAGAATAAAGTCTTACTTTATTCATTTCTTGAGTTACTTTATTTCTTTCCAAGTTAATATGTGTATGCAACACAGGAATCCAACACAACATTTGGAGACACAGAAGGATATACAGTGATAATCAGTTCTCCTTCCCATCTTTGCCTTCCAGCTACCCAAGTCCTTTCCATGGAGACAAGTGGAAATTATTAGTTACCAGACAAGTACCATTACTAGTTTCTTGCATGGGATTCTAGAAATGTTCTATACAATGTTTTTTTCTAAAATAGATGTGTGGCTTGTAGCATATGAAATGACTATTTTGCAACCTGATTTTTTAACTGCTAAACAATAGTTTGGCTTAGTCCATGTAAGTATATTTAGATTTCCCTTTATTTTTATTAATGTTAGGAGTATTATGAAATTTACTTAATCAGTCCTGCATAGATGAATATTTAATGTATTTCTTATCATCAACAATGCTACAATGTAATAGTTTACACACATAATGTTTCTTACATTGCAAGAATATACTTGGATGAATTCCCAAAAGTGGAACTGTTGAGTCAAAGGGTATGTGCCTTTTAACATTTTATTGAAATAGCTAAATTGCTCTCCATTGGGATTATACCATTTTATACTCCTACCTAAAATGCATGAGATCACCACTGGGCTTGACTTTATTTCTATATTCTAATAAAATAATGTCATAAAAGTGTTTTACCTTTGCCAGTTGGTAAAAACAAAAAAAATCTCATGACATTTTAAATTTCTCTTAGTATGATTAGATTTAGGATCTTTTCATGTGTTTCAAGGACCAGATGTACATCTTTCATCTGTGAATGTTCTGTTCATAACATTTACCCATTTTTCTAATGAGTTGGGTTTTTATGGAACCATAGGAATTCTATATTAACTCTTTTTTTAAAAAATAATTTTTAGTTGTAGATGGATAAATATCTTTATTTTATTTATTTTTATGTGATGCTGAGATCAAACCCAGTGCTTTAAGCACTCTACTACTGAGCCACAACCCCAGCCCCAGGAGACATTAAATCTTTGCCTATAAGTTGTAAGTATTTTTCTCCAGTTTCTTATTGTTTATCACTGCAGCAATATTAGATTTGTAAATAGTACTGTTTTTCAGGTTTTTGCTCTTATATCTTCTGGTTTTATTTTATACTTGCCAAGGTTTTTTATATTTAGCATTAAAAAATACATTTTTTAAATACTTCTATGGTTGTTTTTTCAAAGTTCCTCTTAAAGTGCAAGAATTTATTTTTGTGTACAATAAGAGTTTGGATTAAACATTCTCATTTCAGATGACTATATAGTTGTCACAATACTTTGATTAATCTATTCTTGCCTCACTGATTTGAAATGCTGGCTTTCTCACATACAAAATTCCCATATTACCTGGATCTATTTCCTTCTGTTAATCTTAAAACTTATATCAAAGACCATTTTAATTACTATAGCTGTGTAATATATTTTCCTGTCTGGTAAGGCTAGTTCCCTGCATTGTTTATCTTTTCCAGAATTTTCCTGGTTGTTCTTTAGGAATTTAAAATCTGCAATTGGTGTTTTGCTTAAAAAATTGATTATTAAATTAGTTTAGGGCAAACATATCTTTACAATGTTGATTCTTCCTATCTATGAACATTGTACTCTTTTGCTTTTGGTGTTAGTCTTTTACCCTCTCCCCCTGATTTGGTGAGCTTCTATAACATTTTAAAGTTTTTCCTTCTTATAGGTTACCCTTGGAGTTAGAAATGTGTTACTATTCATTTAAGGTTATCATGTATAGGTCTTATTTCTAAATAGACATGGCAATAAAAACCATTGGTTGTTATTCCTTTTTATGTTTTTTGTGTTTGCTAAACACCTACTTCTTGAAACAATTTCAGGCTCGAAAAATTTGGTAGGATTACACTTCACAATGTGTCTCCTTTTCATTCTATCCTAAAATGTTTTGGCATGAAAATAGAACTTTAATTAGATTTTTAGAAAACCTTCGCTCCATGTTAGCTCCATCTTCAACTTTGGGAGTAGACAGATCCTAGTAGTGTTTTATTACATGTTAACAACTTTTATAAAACTAAAACCACAAGACTTACCTCCTAGGTTCATCCCAGCTTGAAGACATTTCTGAAGCCTGCAGGCAGGACAGTTCTTTCGTCGAATCTTATCAATGATGCAGTCATTCCTTCCAGCACATAGATAGTTGTGTTGCCCTGATTTAATAAGAGAAAACAATGGTTAGAATAAAAACGATGACTAGTAGAAAATACTGACGAGTGACATCAGAATGTGAAATTTCCCCTTTCCTACCTTGAAATCTCTTCATCAAAACAGTAGAAGGCAAATATGATTTATGGATAACATGGTCGGCTTAATGCCACTGAGATTTTGGCACACACCTGATAACACTACATGTACTTCCAGGCAGGCTTTGTGCAAGAGCAACCTTCCCCCGTTGGCTGAATTTTACTGATGGAGTCAGGCAATGCTCCATTTCCCTCAGATATCACACCCACACTGATCCGAAAGCCTTGGCCCTACCGCAGCTCTTTAAGCGAAGATGCTTGCCCACCAGGGACACACGCAATCTCACTGGGAAGACTTTTAAATGACACCATGGAAATATTTAACTCTTTCATTCTGTAAACCAGCTGAAAACTGAATATGAATCAGATACAGGTGTGGCATAGGCTTGAAGAGTGGCATCTACTGGCAAAATGTGAAACTGTAACTAGCTCTAGGATTCATTAATTTTTTCAAAATATTTACTTTACTGGAAGCCCTGGAGGTTCAACAATGTACAAGATAGACAAAGGCCTCTGCTGTGGTTAACTTCCATCAACTTGGGGGAGACAGATAATAGACAAATTAATAAGAGAAAATGTCGACAAAAGGGCAGTCAGTAGCCAGGTGTGGCGGTGCACTCCTGTAATCCCAGCAGCTCGAGAGGCTGAGGCAGGCGTATCTCAAGTTCAAAGTCAGCCTCAGCAACTTAGCGAGGCCCTAAGCAACTCAATGAGATCCTGTTTCTTATAAAACATGAAAAAAGGGCTGGGCATATGACTCAGTGGTTAAGTGCCCCTGGGTTCAATCCCTGGTACCAAAAAAAAAAAATAGTTGTAATTATACATAACATTAGAATTCATTTCCATATAATTATAAAGGCATGGAATATAATTTTCTCTAATTCAGTCCCCTCTCCCTCCCTCCCTCCCCCTGTTCCTTTCCTTTTACTGATCTTTCTGCTGTTCACTTATAGCTTTTTAAAAATTATTGCCTTGTGGATATACACAATGGTGTGATTCACTGTGGTGTACTCGTGTATGCACAGAGGAAAAGGAGAGTTAGGTCAGATTCACTCCACTGTTCTTCACTCATCCTGTCCCTGCTCCCTGCCCCCTCAATCCCCTTTCTCTGCTTCACTGATCTTTCTTCCATTTTGGTGGAATTCCTCCCTTCCCACCCCCACCTCTTCTCTTTTTTCCTTCCTTTTTTTTGGACTAGCTTTTGCATATCAGAGAAAATATCTGACCTTTGACTTTCTGGCTCTGGTTTATTTCACTTATCATTATAGTCTCCAGTTCCCTCCACTTATCAGCCACTGCCATGATTTCATAGTTCTTTATGGCTGAGTGATACTCCATTTTGTGTGTGTGTGTGCCTGAGCGCGCGCGTGCGCACACACACACACACACACACACCACATACACACGGGAATACCACATTTTCTTTATCCATTCACTCGTTGAAGGGCACTTGGGTTGATTCCACAGCATGGCTATGTGAAAGGAAGGTCTAAAGATCCCGCAATCTATCTGTGTGGACAACTGGGGTGAGAAATATACCAGGAGAGGAGAAAGCAAATGGGGCAGGGCAAGGGGGAGGGGTACTCGGTGTGTTTTAGGAAGAGCCAGGACACCAGAGGAAAGGAGCAGAGAAGAATGGGGGGAGAGGACAGGGATGAGAGGTCACAGAGCCAACATGAGCCAAATCATGGGGCCGGGGAGACTCTGGCTGTTACTCCCCGTGAAAGGGGAAGCCACTAGATGAGAGGGCTTAGAGCAGATAAGTCGCCAGGTTTGCACTGAACAAGGTCACTGTGGCTGCTTCGGTGAAGACCCACTGCCCTGGATTAAGGACAGAGCAGGGAAACCAGAGATAGCAGTGATCATAATGACCCAGGGGAGAGAAGAAAATGGGGGAGGGGGGTCAGTGTAACTGTGGTGAGATGTGGTCAGGTCCTAGATGCATTCTGAAGACAGAGCCCTGGGGATTTGCTGACGGACCAGAGGAAAACTGTCCTGAGATTTTGGGGCTGAACAACTAGAAAAATGAAAATTCCATATATTTAAATGGGGAAAATATATGGTGGGGGGTGTGGTTGATGGGAGAAGACCCCAGGTGGGACGGGACCAGTCTGGGATGCCTGCTGGGCAGGCACCTGGAGGCCTCAGCTGCCTGCGAGGAACACAGGTCTGGAGTCAGGAAGAGGCCTGGGCTGGAGAGGCAGTCAGCTTATGGCTATTCTCAAGTCTTGAGAAGGGGCGAGACTGGACAGTGAGTGAAGTGCAGAGGACACAGCCAAGAAGTCAGAGGACCGGGTCACAGGTCACCGAAAATGGGCAAACCAGAGACAGAACCTCGCTGGTTACTGTAACAGCCAACAAGGGAGAGCCTTCTTTTCATCCCGGTACCGTGGGTTGAGAATTTCTAGTTCCAGTAAATATCCACTAAAAATATAACGTGTATTGCTCAATGTAATTAAGATGAATTTCATCTAGAGCACATAATGTTAGTGTGAATCTTCATAATAATAATGACCATAAAACAACAGTAATAGGATGGAAAATCTATCAAAGTGAAGAAACTAAACCCCACCCTTAAAATAACCTAATGTATTTTTTAAAAACGGACGATTCTTAATGAATCTAAGTAGGTGCAGATAATTTCACAAAGGCAATCCATATCCATATGAAGACGGTCACCGATTAACATGACATTTCATGATGCATGATATCTTAGAGCAGAGGCTCGTACTTTTAAAATAAAAATCTGGTCTTACTAGAGTGTTATCTTACTTATTAGGCTAGAACGAATCTATAACACAGATGGGGCCTCTGTGATTCCGGCTCTCCTTCACAAGAAGAAACCCACACTGGAATTGATAGTGACTTCCCCAAACGGTAGAAGCAGAATTCAAAGTCTGATAATATTGCTCTACCTTAATGCCAGCGGGTTTTTTAAAGAATAGATTGCAACATAATTGACTGGCAGTCTAATAGGAGGCTGAGGGTGCTCTTCGGGAAAAATAACCAAAGGAACGTTCTCTGGGCCAAGCACATGGAATTTCCACCGGCACCCAGCATTTCACATGCTTTTTGCATAGGATAAGACTGAATGCCAAGCCCCAGACTTCATCCATAACTCACAATGAACTGAATAAACTTTGAAGGCCAAAGAAACAGCTACATGTAATTTTAATTTATTTCAATTCACCAAGTATCTATGGGGAGCCTCTTGTGTGTGGAAGGCCACAAAACCACCGCAGAGTGGGTTGGTCTGATGCAAGGAAAGGGCCTTCTTAATGCTGTGAACTGGCAATAAATAGAAGTCCTTCACAGTGTAGGTGTGCAAGAATGTGTGAGGAATAGACACACTGGAAGAATGCACACTCTAGAAGGTTCTTCTCCAGGTATTCAAAAACAGAGACTTCTAGAAACTGGGCTTGTTCTGTAAGCATTGTTTCTATGAATACCCCTTAAAACTCCATGTCACTGTAACAACCGAAGGTCAACCTCCTTCCAAATATTTCATCTTCATACAGCATAGGAGGATGGTAAGGAACCATTGCAGATTTGTCAAAATAAACTTCAGACAATTCTGTCATTTATATTTTTAGTTGTATAAATATTAATTATTTAAGTAGTATTGAAACAAAGTATATAGTGTGGTGTCCTGCTCCTTAATGCACATCAAAATAACAACAGGTAACAAAAGTGAGATGGCATCTAGACGAATTTCTATCACGTCCTCTTTAAACCCTGCACTCTCCTGGTGTTACGACCGCTGATCCAGAGTAAGTTCCATCTAAGGCTCTGTGGCGTCAATGGTTTTCTACTAAAATACTAACTGGGACAGACAAACAGAATGCAGGGCACTAGACAGCGGTGGCCTTGAGTGACAAGTGAAGGAACTGAGATTTCCGTCAGCAGGCACTGGGGTGTCACTGGGGATTCCAGGGCCGTGTTTTAGAAATATTCAGCTTCAGGTTACGTAGCAGGCAGGCAGGATGGAAGGCAGCGATATTACGAAACGTGCACACCACAGTTCTCAGAGATGGGCTCCATGCAAGCGAGGGGAGGTTTGTCAGCGTATGCAGACTCGGGAATAATCCCGGCTTAAACAGAAATCTCGGGGGTCAGGCAGAAAGATTTATTTCACACTGAAGTGACGTCCAGTGTGAGTGGAATCTCCCACAGATCGTCATAAACTGTCTAGCAAAGGAGGCGGGTGAAAGGATTGAGGGCTTCTGGGAGGGACCATGAGCAGACAGAAGCTGGAGGCAAACCGAATCCTGAAAAGATGATCGCTCTGGACAGGGTGCCTCCTTGGAACAGCTTCTTCCTGCGGTCAGTGTCCAGTGGCAGGAAGCCAAGCAAAAGGCCTCCTCTAATTGGCCTAAGAAGGCAGAGAACAGACTTTGGGACTGCCACAACAGAGAGAAAGGGGGGAAATAAAATGTACACATTAACTGCCCCGAAACTGCTGCAAGACTTCAGAAATGATCACAAGACTCCAAAGGGTTCAGGGGGAAAATAACAATTTTAGGTTAAGAAAGATAAGCAGATACTTCAGGGGTTGTGCCCCACGGATGGGCAGTTTAAATACCAGTAGATTAAGAAGATTCAATAAATACTTGAGGTTTTCCACTGAAATTCTAGAAGGTTCATGCCCTTGGAGGAAATGCTGTATCCCATGAGTAAGGCAAAACAGACTTATTAAAAAAAAAAAAGAAAAGCCAAACATAAAGCTCGGGCCCTTGGAGGAAATGCTGTATCCCATGAGTAAGGCAAAACAGACTTATTAAAAAAAAAAAAGAAAAGCCAAACATAAAGCTCGGGATTTAATTGAGTTCAGGATTTAATTGACTACTAGATCAAAACTCAATATCCCTCAGAGAAATATAACATAATTCAGAGTCTCTAGAATGTCC